ATTATGATCACAATTGATATAAATTTTAAAAAATAAAAAATATTTTTTTAATATATTGTTAAATAAAAAACACTTCATATAAAAATAGCATTCTATATATAAAATTTTATTAAAAAAACACTGTACAAGAATTGTAACACGAGTAGGGAATAAAAAGGACAATTATAAGTGCAAATTTGGTGTAGTGTAGATTGCAATTTTTCTTCTCGAGAAACAGCATGTCATTATGACTCTACTCTGCCCCTTCCATGCCACAAGCAAACGATAAATGTTCGACGACAAAAGCATTGATAAGAACAATTTGGCACCGAGCCTTGATCACTTCTCGAAAGGAAATAAATGGCTATCCACGCATCCTTCCGATCCATTGCCATCATTTTACGGGCTCGTACGTTGATTTTTTAATTGACAAAAAGTCAGTCATGATATGTCGAAGGCCATTATCTCTTCTGCCAAAAAAACTGGGCAATCTCTTGAACAGTAAAGGATGCAATGAACAGTATTATCAAGTTCGAGTCTTAGTTGGTCATATGATAGCCACTGGAGATTTACATGGTCGTTAATTTCAAGACCCGTAGGATTAGTCGTGGTACGCGTAAACTGACCCGAATACCCATATTAATCTAAAAAACAAAAAAAATGTAATCTTGTTCTTCTAACAAGGCAAAAGAGTACAGTCTTCATACACTTTTGTTTTTTAACTTTAATATAACCTGAAAAATTAAATTTAGCATTATTAATTTTTAGGTTTTGAGTTGAATTTGTATTTTTAAACTGATTTTATTGTGGGATTAGTCATGGTATGCGTAAACTGGCCCAGACACTCATATTAATTTAAAAAAAAAAAAGATGTAATCTTGTTCTTCTAACAAGGCAAAAGAGTACAGTCTTCATACACTTTTGTTTTTTAACTTTAATATGACCTGAAAAATTAAATTTAGCATTATTAATTTTTAGGTTTTGAGTTGAATTTGTATTTTTAAACTGATTTTCAACCACACCTCATAACCTCGTAACCGTATCTCTTAAACCCAGCAAATAATGTATTATTTTTTTATATTTTTATTGTTATTAAATTATTTTAATATGTTGATATCAAAAATAATTTTTAAAAAATAAAAAAAATTATTAATATATATTTTAATATAAAAAATTATTTAAAAAATAACTATAATTATATTTCTAAAATCACAAATGTCCTCTAATTACGGAATTTGTTAGAGCAAATGTCCTCTAATTACGGAATTTGTTAGAAAATTTTGTTTTTCTTTTTTATAATTGGTTTTTCCTTTTATTAATGGTAACATTCCAAGTATTTTTTTTAAAGCAGAACTTCCTAATTAACATGCATTTTATCAAGAATAAAAAATAATATAATTATAATTGTACCGTGAATATGGTCGGCCCCTTTTTTCTAACAAAAGATTTGCCATTAATTACTTTTTTATCGTAGTATTATTACTTGATTTGACTCTAATTAAGTTAATGTACTTGGAGATTCAAGATTCAACACGATAACTTGGAGGGTGCGAGGAAGGAATTTCTTTTTAATCGTTCATTCTTGGAATGGTTTTAATATATTTATAAAAACAATAAGAATATTAATTTAATTCTCTACTTAACCCACCATCCCAAATAATTTCATACACAAAAAAAAAAAAATTATTTGATATTCTTGATGAGAATAGAAATTTATTATCAAACAACATCGAATAAGATTGAGCTTTGCCTTTACCAGCAATGTGGGATAATTTTTTAAGATGTTATATATTGATTTTTTTGTAATGAGAAAAATGTATTGTCAAACCGTGTTATTAATAGTCTTCCGGTTGATCCTGGATCCACGCACTTGAGCTTCTTCTTTATATATATATATATATATATATATATATGCACAATTTATTGACATGTTATATATTTATATCATAAAGAAATTCTAATGATATTATTTTTCACTTATATACAATGATTTTTTATTTTTACATTGAAAAGTTTTTTTTTCTTTTTCTTTTTCTTTTTACAATTTAAAAATCTTTTTTTTCTTTTTCTTTTTACAATTTAAAAATGCTTTTATAAAAATTTAAAATGTTTTTATTTTTTTCTTTACTTCAAATTAATAATTTTTCATATTTTAAAATTATTTTGATGTGTTAATATAAAAAAATAATTTTTAAAAAATAAAAAAATATTATTTTAATATATATTTCTAAATAAAAATAATTTTAAAAAATAACTATAACTACACTCACAAAAACATGTTGTATCACATACATACATACATACATACATACATATATATATATATATAAAAGCAGTGCTTATCACTATGCCAAGTCAAACATTTACGAGAAAGGTTGCAATTTATGAAACCGGTAATCAAGGAAGAAATTTGCTGGTTATAAGCAATGTTGATAGTCGATCCTGAACCTATTTTTTATTTTGCTTTTTCTTTTCTTTTTACTGTTTTTTCTTCATTTTGTCGTACTGAGGAATATTTACGGTCCTTTTTCTTAGTAATATGATACTATGTGGAATACTATAGGAGTATTTAATATCGCGGTTCAAATATTATTTATAAATATACATATTTTTAAAATATATTTTATTGTTTTAATATATTTACATGAAAAATAATTTTTAACAAATAAAATAAAATATTATTTTAATATATCTTCAAATATAAAATACTTTACCAATATATAACACGCCCGCAAGTCAGGGCCGTGCCTATATTAGGAACACGTCTCTCTGTAAAGAACAACCGCAGGAAAAAGAAAATGAATATCAGAATCGAAATCATCAATTCAATCCTCAAAAGGTAACTATTTTCATCGAAAAATCATATCAGAATTTCAAATGTAGAAATAATTTTTTTTTTCAAAGTCGCATAATAGTAAAACTCTTTTTTAACAAATAACATAATTCAAAATTTAAAATTTAATAGCATAGTTTAGACTCATTCGTGACCCACAATTATATATATATATATAATCTATTTTAAAATTTAAATTTAAAAAATAAATTAAACTTAAACAAGTACTGTATTCTTATATAAGCTCTACAAGTAAAAAGAGTTATTTACGTGATTTGAAATTAAAACTGTTCTGGAACAAGAAAAAATTACGTCAATTTCCTTAAGATAAAATCACACGTATATTTTTTTTTCAATGAAAAAAGTATTTATTAATAATAAAAAATACACTTTTTATAATAAAAAACATTAGTTTTTCTTATAATTAAAACCTGTAATTGTTTTCTAAAAAAACAAAAAGGGTAAATTCAAAAACACGTGCATGACTATTTTTAATTGTAGAGTTTGTATAAAGATAGAAAATTTATAAATGGAGCGTAGAGTTTGTAAAAAAAACAAAACAATTATTACTGTAGAGGAATAAAGTTTGATTTATTTTTTAAATAGTTTTTTTAAGAAAATAAGAAAATTGGAAATAATATGTGTTTGAAATGCCGAAGATTTTATTACGTGTTTAAGGTATTATTTGATTTTATTATTTTTTAATTTAAATTATTTTTTATATTATCATATTATTTTAATATATTAATATAAAAATAAATTATAAAAAAATTATCTAAAAATATAAAACATATTTAAAAACAATATTTACCGGAGATGGTGCAAAGTGGCCATCTATGTCAATCTAATCCCCTCCTTCCTTCCTTCTCGAATTTCACTTTTTTATATTGGTCGGTCCACCTCCCTCTCTAAACTTAAACAAGTACTGTATTCTTATATAAGCTCTACAAGTAAAAAGAGTTATTTACGTGATTTGAAATTAAAACTGTTCTGGAACAAGAAAAAATTACGTCAATTTCCTTAAGATAAAATCACACGTATATTTTTTTTTCAATGAAAAAAGTATTTATTAATAATAAAAAATACATTTTTTATAATAAAAAACATTAGTTTTTCTTATAATTAAAACCTGTAATTGTTTTCTAAAAAAACAAAAAGGGTAAATTCAAAAACACGTGCATGACTATTTTTAATTGTAGAGTTTGTATAAAGATAGAAAATTTATAAATGGAGCGTAGAGTTTGTAAAAAAAACAAAACAATTATTACTGTAGAGGAATAAAGTTTGATTTATTTTTTAAATAGTTTTTTTAAGAAAATAAGAAAATTGGAAATAATATGTGTTTGAAATGCCGAAGATTTTATTACGTGTTTAAGGTATTATTTGTTTTTATTATTTTTTTAATTTAAATTATTTTTTATATTATCATATTATTTTAATATATTAATATAAAAATAAATTATAAAAAAATTATCTAAAAATATAAAACATATTTAAAAACAATATTTACCGGAGATGGTGCAAAGTGGCCATCTATGTCAATCTAATCCCCTCCTTCCTTCCTTCTCGAATTTCACTTTTTTATATTGGTCGGTCCACCTCCCTCTCCTTTGGCAATTCAAACGCATCAATAATCTAAAAAATCACCATCATTTAATTAATTGAACCTAGCTGCATAAGGGGTCACATCGAATCATCTTTTTCCGGCTATCCTTTTCCGTTAAAGTATTTCTAAAGCAAGAGAAAGATTAAATATTAAATTTTTTGTGGGGGTTAATGCTTCATTAGTGCATGTTTGCAACAAAGAAGTCTTAAAAATAACTATGACGAACCATCTAATGGTTAAGTGGTAAAAATTTAAAATTAAAAGGTTTATTTTTTTGTGTTTTCAGGTTCAAGTTCTTGATTGCTTATACGATAGCTACTAGAGACTTATATAATTATTAACTCCAGGATTCGTAAAATTAATCGTAATACATAGATCCGAACAACTACGCTAATCTAAAAAAAATAACTGTCACGGTCGTCACATGATGGCGAGTCTATCTGGGCGAGTCCAACGTGACAGCCAGCGAATCTCTTCGGGTTGTTTTTGTGATCTGTCTTCGATATCTTCATTTTTCTTGTTTCTTTCTCTTTAGTATTTCTCTTTTAAGAAAAGGAAAATATTATTTTATTGTTATTTTTGTTTTATTAAGTAAAATGTCACCCTGTTTCTGCTCACCACTTGCCAGTAAACTTCACTCACTATATTAATCACTCGAGCTTCAATCCGGTCCCCATCTGCCCATTTCCGAGCGATCACTCGAGCTTCTAAGCTTAAAATCCGGTCCCCATCTGCCCATTTCCGAGCCTACTGTGTTTCAGGTAGCTTTTCTTTTCTCCTTCTCTAAAATCTTAGTCTTTTGATTCTTTGGTCCCTTTTCAGCGTTTTTGTTTGCTATAATTTTTAGAAAATGATGGAATCCGTTGGAAAAGGGAGGTATTGGATTCGTGTCATGTGTTAAAAGCTACATTTTTCCTTTTCACTGAAACAAAATGACTATAAAGTTTTATTTTTCTGGTTTCTGGTGAGTGTCATCCAAGTGGGTTATTCTGTTTGGTTGCAGAGAAGATGAAGGAAACTTAAACCTTTTAGACAGTTATTGTTCTTGTTCCTTAATTATTTTTCTCGCGCTCAATTTTAGTTTCTGTCCAGAATCTTTTCATTTTAAGGGTAGATCGGACCTCTTATTACTCTTTGGCAGGTCTCATTTCCTGTTAGTTAAGTACTTTGTTAATTTCATGTGAAAAATCGTCACATCTTTAGTTGTGGAAGTGTCTTTCTTTGGTGGAATCATTTTTAGAAGATTGGGCTTACTGGAAGTGCCTTTTGTACCATGTCATCATTTTGCTTGAAGAAATTCGCAATACCCGTTGAACTCGATCTGATAGTTAGTGGATCTGATATTTAGCAGTGTTTTTTAAACCCAGGGGTTCCATTTCAGATCAACGTTTTCTTTCATTTTTTGTTCTGTGATCTTGTCAAAAAGATCTTGATTTCCTGAAAGAAATGTGCGTTTCGGGTCTCTAAGTGAGCATATGATATTTAATATTATGCAGTTGAAGATAATTTGCTTTAGATCTTCTAAATCTTGGTCTTATAATGTTGCTCGTTGTGCTTTCTATGGTATGAATTCTGTTCCTTAAAGGCGAATGGAGGTACATTGAGGTTATGAATGTGAAGCAGATCACAGTGAGGAAATGCAATGTAGATCCAAAAGGATAATTAGCAATGTCTAGGTTGCATGCGAGATTTATTATAGACTATTGAACCATGTGCGGATGATTTTGCAAATTCAACCTAGCAAATCTCATTGTATATATATATATACACACCAACTTATCTCAATTGTAAACATAAATCCATTTTCTATGTTAAAGCGTAGCCAGGTGGAAAATATCAGCCATGTGGCATACAATTTAAAATAATTAAGTAAAAGGTTGTAAAGTAAATAAACCGAGAGATTTTCTTCTATTTCCAATTTTTCCCAAATCTGCGAATTAGGTTTTTATTTCTACTTTTAAAAAAAATTTGTGTTGAGCTTCATAGTTGAAATTTTGTGCCAAACGAGAATATTTATCAACTCAGCAATCTTTAACACAGCAAATCGATTTTTGTTAACAATTAATATTAGCTGGATCTTGCCTAATCGTAACAAGCATAGTGTTGTAGTTCAATTTGCCTATTTGATATGAACAGTCTCAAACAGGTTTTTTCCAGTGATTGTTAATTAACCTATAGGTTGCAGTTTGAGCTTATTTTTATTTTTTTTCCCTTTTGGAAACTTCCTCTGAAATGGTGTTTTTAATTTTAATGTGAACTCAATTTTGTCACTCTTATATTGTTCCCTTCAGTTGGGTAGATGATAAAGCTGAGCATCATTGTCAATGGTATCTTAATGTTAGCTATTATTTTTAGTTTGTCTAAGGCTTAGTAAAGACAGGGCCATCTGCATGCCTTCATTGTATGTCTCTTTTTGCAGAATTGATATGCACCTAATCAGCTTGTTAAATTTTAGGACATATCATAGTTTTCCTGGTAGTTGTGACTCAATTGAGTATTTTAGTTCTGGAAAGAACTTTTGTGGTCCTAAAGTAACTTTTTTATGCTACACCTAATCAGCTTCTCCTATGTCTTCTTTTGTGTGTTAATCTCTCTTTTCTTGACATTCGAAGTTAGCATGTGCTTTTCAACATAATCTGCCAAGTGTATTTGTTCCAATGGGAGGGATTGGTGTATGCCACAGACCCAGGGCATACTTATTTATCTTGGTTAGACTTTGGCACTTTTAGTTCACCCATTGTACTTGTTGGAGATTCATAATGGAAATCCCTGTGGCTTCTCACTGACTCATGTTTTGCTGGGGCTAAAGGTTCAGGCTTTGTGCTTTGCATGTTTTGGATACTGGTGCCTTAAGATACTATCTTTCTCTACTCATGATGCCATCCGTTGACCTTATGACTACCTACTACTATGCTGTGTAATGTTTTTAACTACAGCTTTCTGCAGTATAACTTTCTTTGAAGAACATTTTCTGCTTCAATATGTGCATCAAAAGGTTCACATACTGTTTCTTAAGAGATGCAATTGTCCCTACACAACTGTAATTTTGGAAGAGACCTGATTGATTTCATATTCATCCTATTGACTAACTCAATAACCCTTTTCATTTCTTCAGTGCAAACTGCAACACTTTAGATTTATTACATGCATTTTGTCGTGTGTAACAGTTGTGGTTAGTGGTTCCCTGAAGTATATGATGTTGATGCATTGTCATCAATACCTTTCCCAAATTTTATTTTTAAGTGGAATGCAGAAATTGTTGAACTTTAGTGCTCTTTTTTGCTGCCTATTCTTTGCTAATGTCCCAGAATCCTTACTGATGTTACTTTATTCATCTTGAAGGCCTGGAGCCTGAATGTGAATTTAAGCAATTTCTATATGTTTATATATTTTGTGCAGTGAAAGGAGTCTTCCTGAAGCACAATGTCCGATCTCGAGGCCCCCCTGCGCCCAAAGAGGAAGAAGGTGTGGGTAGACTATTTTGTCCGGTTCAGATGGATCTTAGTTATTTTTGTTGTTCTCCCAATCTCCTTCACCCTTTACTTTCTCACTTACCTTGGGGATGTCAAATCAGAGATGAAATCCTACAAACAGCGTCAGAAGGAACATGATGAAAATGTTAAAAAAGTGGTGAAACGCCTCAAAGAGAGGAATCCATCCAAGGATGGTCTTGTTTGCACTGCTCGTAAACCCTGGATTGCTGTTGGAATGCGGAATGTTGACTATAAACGGGCTCGGCACTTTGAAGTCGATTTATCAGCTTTCTGTAATATCCTTGAAATTGACAGGGAGAGAATGGTTGCTAGAGTTGAGCCACTTGTAAATATGGGACAGATTAGCAGGGCAAGTGTCCCAATGAATCTTTCCCTTGCAGTGGTTGCAGAACTTGATGATCTCACTGTTGGTGGGCTAATTAATGGTTATGGGATTGAAGGTAGCTCTCACATCTATGGCTTGTTCTCTGACACAGTTGTGGCTTATGAGATTGTTTTGGCAGATGGCCAGGTTGTTAGAGCCACCAAGGACAATGAATACTCTGATCTTTTCTATGCCATCCCTTGGTCTCAGGGAACACTTGGGCTTCTTGTCTCTGCTGAGATCAAGCTTATTCCTGTTAAAGAATACATGAGGCTGACCTACAAACCTGTAGTGGGTAATCTGAAAGAACTTGCACAGGCCTATATAGACTCGTTTGCACCCAGAGATGGAGATCAGGATAACCCAGAGAAGGTTCCAGACTTTGTGGAGACTATGATTTATAACTCTACCGAAGGTGTGATGATGACAGGGAGATATGCCTCCAAAGAAGAGGCCAAGAAGAAGGGAAATGTGATAAACAATGTTGGTTGGTGGTTTAAACCGTGGTTCTATCAGCATGCGCAGACAGCCCTAAAGAAAGGGGAGTTTGTAGAGTACATTCCAACCAGAGAATATTATCACAGGCACACAAGGTGTTTGTACTGGGAGGGGAAGCTTATACTTCCATTCGCTGATCAATGGTGGTTTAGATTTCTCTTAGGCTGGATGATGCCTCCAAAGGTTTCTCTTCTCAAGGCTACTCAAGGTGAAGCAATCAGAAACTATTACCATGAGATGCATGTCATTCAGGATATGCTTGTTCCTCTTTACAAGGTTGGGGATGCCCTAGAATGGGTTGACCGTGAGATGGAGGTAACCTTGGTCTCCTCTGTTCCTTTTCTTTTTACAGCTCTAGTTCTTTTTTTTTTTTTTTGGATAATTTTTACTTCCCATCTTTTCTTGGCATATGCTAAAAGTAATCTCCTCAAATGATTGATTTGTGTGAAAAATTAAGTCAACCTTGTATCATCCTAGCTTTGGTTGGGAACTCTTGTGGGCTCTGGGCAAGGAAACTATTTGAGAGGACATGACCATCGCAGGTGTTTGATATTGTAATACATAATAGCATGAGGATGTAAAATGACTGCATGAGGGTTGAGTGTCTTAAACATTGACCTGACTGTTGTTGATTTTTCCAGGTATATCCCATTTGGCTATGTCCGCACAGGTTGTTCAAGCTTCCTGTGAAAACTATGGTGTATCCTGAGCCAGGGTTTGAGCATCAGCACAGACAGGGAGACACATCCTATGCACAGATGTTCACCGATGTTGGGGTGTATTATTCACCTGGACCAGTGTTGAGGGGTGAGGTGTTCGATGGTGCAGATGCAGTTCGCAGAATGGAGAACTGGTTGATAGAAAACCACGGCTTCCAGCCTCAGTATGCAGTGTCTGAGCTGAATGAGAAGAAATTCTGGAGGATGTTTGATGCTGACCTCTATGAACACGCCAGGAAGAAATATGGAGCTGTGGGAACCTTCATGAGCGTGTACTACAAATCCAAGAAAGGAAGGAAGACGGAGAAGGAGGTGCAGGAAGCAGAACAAGCCCACCTTGAGACTGCTTATGCTGAGGCTGGTTAATAATGGACTGATTTTGAAGTGAAGTTTGGAAATGTGAAAACTATAGCATTTCTTTCTTTGCTGTTTCTTGCGTTTTCTGGTTGTCGCTGATAGATTAGACTCTTGTTTGGATGGTAGTTTCCAATCGTACTCGTGTTCTAGATAGTCTTGAGACTGTAGACCGCTTCTCACTGCTGCAGCCTGCAAAGGGGCATCAGTTGTTTGGCAACTGTTGTGCAGCTTGGGGAGTGCGTCTAGTCAGGTTAGGTTACCGTTGTGTTGGCTTTATTGAGTGGAGTTGTAATTGGCACTAGAGAAGAAATGAGAGATGATGATGATGATGATTCACTCAAAAGTGAAAATGTTATTTTCTGGTCTCCCCTCTCTCTCTGTTCCAGCCGGTAACTGAACAGTATATTCAAACGAAATTATTTGTGAAAAAAATAATTCCAAGAGAAGAAAGTTAATTGCAACTGAAAAACCCCAAGCGATTTGATTTGCTTGTGAATATTTTCCTCGCAAGCAACAGTCTGTATTTTTCTCCTCTTTGAGGAGTGAAGCTTAATCATGGAGTTTACCATGAGAAGGTGAGGTCAATGGTCACTAACGGTATACCCATAGCGCCACCCACGATCTAAGTTCTTATCCCAATTTAACGGATCCTGTCCAGCTTGAGATGGCCATCAACGTAGCTGAAAACCTAGAAAAGCAAGAGAAAATCTGTATTCAAATCAAGTCATGTATAAGAAAAAGCACATGATTTATGCGTTGATTTGGACAGGCTTCTAATTTTTAGTTTCTTATGGTGGGTGGTTAATATGCACGTGATTTATGCGTTGATTTAGACAGGCTTCTAATTAGATTTTAGTTTCTTATGGTGGGTGGTTAATATATTTATTCAACAATCCTCCATTCCACGCCCATCAACTTCATGACTGCTCTATCTCTCTGTATTTAGTGTTAGGCACAATAAATACTGTCAAAGTGAGACCACGATGGAGGTCCCGGAAAGGAGAAGCATTAAAGCATCTTCAACGTCTCCTTTCACTTCCCCTGCATAATCCCTTGAAGCGAGAGCTTGGACAGTCAATGGGAACGTGCAATTAAGCCCACCATGCAACGCTGAACCTTCTCATAGATATCTCTTGAAGAGGCTAGGTCTACAAATCCGCTTCACATGTAAGAAAAAACTAGTTATGAATGAGAATGAAACTGAATAGCTAACTTGTAATTAAACAGCGACGACCAATCAATTAGATATATAGTTTCGATCAGCGTAACTACAGTCAGAATCAAATTAATATAGTCAAACCTTCACTGGTTGTACGGTTTTGTCCTACTTATCAAAGCAAAAAACCAAACCAAACCCTAATTCATGGTCCCTGCACCATATTCTTATATATAATTTATTAGTATTCAATGATTTCATGCAGCTTTCCTAGGTCCTGACACAGGATTATAAGTTTCGACGAATAAGATCTGTATGATAGTTCCAAAGTCGGTCAACGTCTCGGCCACATTTTAAACATGGCTGGAAGCCTGTCACCATCAGATAAGCGGCGATAAAGTGTAACAAACAGCACCAAATAAGGGACCATGCCAGGGGAAAACAAGAAAATAGCAACCTCTTTCCACCCCATCTTAGCTGCAGCTTGAGCACCAACCAAGTTTCCAATTACTGATAACTGGCTTGTTGGATTTTCAAAAGTTGACAGAAACCTCTTTCCTTTAGAGAACCACTGGCCATAAATTTTAACATCAAGTGCCGCTATCGGAACCGCAAATACCCACCAAAGAACAAGGTAGGACACAGTGTTGGAGCATGCAGATTGGAGCAAAAGAAGCCAAGAAATCCAGGGAGCGGAGCGAACAGATGATTAACTACACGATGCCAGAATTCGGCTTCCACCACCTTGAAGAAAAACATGCGCCTCAATATGAAAAGAAAAGAAATTGAAGTAAGGATTCGGAAAGCAAGAGACCACAGCACAAGAAATCCTGCAGGGTGGAGCAGCGCAACATATGGTGCAGAGGGTCTGTGCATCAATTGGTGAAATTACCAGTGTCTTGAATAACAAAGCTCGGCCACCTAGAGATAGGCGAATCTTAAAATAACCAGCGTGAAACTTTGTTAAAATGGACCATGGGGATGGCTTGATTCTGTCCACAATGATGCTCGAGGGGTTGGTCTGTTGATCTTCTGTAGCGGTGTTTGATGTTTAGACTATTAGCTCCATCTCGAATCGAGATCTTTGGGCTGGCATTAATACCTAATTATGTTAATAGCTAGTAGCTTTGGCATTTGTGGGTTTATCAAGTGGAGGCAAGGTTTTTACACAGCAAAGATGCTCCAGACTACTGGGAGTTATACAACGAATGAAGTGCATTAAGTAATGTTTTAATCTAATAAATTAGAATATACGAAGAGCAGGCGAATAGTAAGCAATCTTAATTTTAGGGATTAAAATTAAGATTAAACCAATCTTTTTCTGTATTTAGCAGCCTGCACATTCGGCCCATCTTCGGCCTTTTTAGTTGTAGACTAGACTTGGGCCGAGATGAGAACAAAGTATTGGCTCTAATCTAATCTAATGGAAGCTACACAGCAGAGCTGTATTCAGTTCATTCCCGTCCTGTCCCTTGCAATTTGTAACCGAGTTGAGTTCTGTTCAACACGAGAAGCTGATATTTAGTCACCGTAAGTAGCTAAGTCACACAATCTTCTTTATGGTGTCTATGTTGCTGCACCTGTCAATTTCGCTCACTCTTGAACTGTTACTACATGTTTGTAATATGTGAGCAAGTGTTACTTCTTTGCTGCTCCCTCCCTGATTTAACCATTTTTCTGTGTAATGGGTTTCTTTTTTTGGTCTCTATAGAAACTGGGTCTCTCTCAAAAATTTTATAGATGGATGTAATTGCATTTTTTTGGTCTAGTTTTTGTGTTTATAAGCTGTTTGTAAGAATGTTCCGAGTAAAAATTCTGTTGAGGTTTATGTTAACTCTTGCTATTTACTAATCATTTCAATTTAAAGGCTTCAGTGTCTTTTCCTGGCCAGACAGATTTGCTTATAACTACCCAGAGAATAGCACTTAGGTTCTTTGTTTTGTTTTCCGGTTTGAGCATGGTCTTGAATAAAGCATGTAGTTTTAGCCTCGTAAATCATCGTGCAGCGTTGCAGCCATTCACCTTCTCTATTATATAGTTCGAAAGTGGAGATTTTGAAATAACTGGACAGCAATTCAGGGCACTAAAATCCCATGTAAGCCTGTTGGTTTCTAACTTCAATCTCAGTCCTTTTCTTGCTAGCCATGCACTATAGCTTTTATCACTATTTGTGATTATGTTTAACCTATGGTAGAGCTTCATATTTTAAAACTTTGAGAGGATTATGTTATGAGATGTTACAAACTGTAACCGTTAGGCAGACCATCAAGATACATGTAGCAGTATGTTTAAAATGTTCTGTCCCTTCACCTCTTCTTTGGTTGCTTTGATGTTATACGAAAATATCTTATTGCTGTCCCTTTATTTTCATATTTTCCATGTACTTCCATATGTTGAGTATTCAAAACTTTTAAATAGAAGCTGCCTGTGTTAAATAGATCATTAGAATCGTGTAGAATATTAGTCTGTTTTTTCTATTATGTCTTTCAGTCTAAACTGTTTTTCATTGTTTTTGCAGATTTAGTCGATACCTTTGACTTCCCTCTAGTTCGTATTGATTTCTCCCAACTCTTATGATCAAGAATTGCGTGACTATTATCTGGAGCATTTCTTATACTTCTCCTATTTATTTGCATATTAAACAAAAGAGCTTCATCATCTCTTCTCAAATAGAACTTCTCCTAGCTGAGTATAGGGAACCAAGATGTCACTTGTCTACTTCACATCCCCTATAGCTCTATCCCCCCACATTAACCAATTTAAAGCAGATGGTTTGCTCTCCCAAAAAATTTCTCTATCAAATCCAAGCTTTTCTGTTGTTGATTGCAAAATTTCAAGGGGTATAAGAAAGAGTGCATGTGATGTTTTTAGAAACAAATCACAAAGTATTATAAGGTTTACTGCAAGACATGCAGTGGACTCTAACAGTCAGAAGTTTACTGATTTATCTCTTAATTGGGATGATCAAGAGGAAGAAGACACTGAAGACATGGAATCGCCATGGGAAGGTGCTATTATTTACAAGAGAAATTCTTCAATTTCACATGTGGAGTACTGTACAACTTTAGAAAGGCTTGGGTTAGGAAAACTTTCAACTGAGATTTCAAAATCAAGGGCTTCAGTAATGGGATTGCGTGTCACGAAGGCCGTGAAGGATTACCCTCTTGGAACTCCTGTTCAGATCTCCATTGACGTGACAAAGAAGAAGAAAAGGTTGAGGCTAGATGGGATCATCAAAACTGTTATCACTCTTGCTTGCTACAGGTATTTTAGTTTCTGATCCTTGTTTTCCAGTGGACTTAACTTTTTTTCCCTGCGTATTTGTGCACTCTTTAAAATTCTTTTTTGCTTCTACCATATTGCAGTATTGTTTTCTTTTTTTCTTTAGTTTCCAGATTTACCTAGGAGAATGATTATCTGTGTTGGCTGTTTGAAATTATTTGCATATGATTAAATTTGTAAGAGGTTTCATGGAAATTCTTTCCCCGATCCAACCAATTCAACATATCTATTTTTAGAATTATCTGGATGTCTCTTGTGTGATTTTTATTATAGCATCTATGAAAAGCTACAGCTACAAATAATGACTTCAGTCTTTCAAAAGCGGAAAAATCAATTTTTTGCTCCTCTTAATGTGGTGGTGTAGTGTTCCTATACAATTATCATAGAGTTGGGCTGTAAAGTATGCCGCTCACAATGAGTCTGACAGCTGTGTGACCATATTTTAGGGAAAGTGCAAAATGTTGTCCTTTTGAGTTGTGACCAATTGCTAATCATGATATATTTTGTCACCAGCCCCAGATAGAACTACCAGCTTTAATGTTTCTATGAATAATACAACCATATGACAGTATGATTAGTAAATGGACTGTGCAGCAACCAAGATCAAGACTTTTGATTTACTTTCTTAGCTATCGCCAAGTTTTAGTTGCCATTTCTTTGGTTTTAGTAGAGTGTAGTCTTTGTGAGAAAAGAAAATGTAGATCCAGGCATCATCACTGTTTGATCTAAGCTGGCAAGAATTTTGTAGGTTATGCATGAGATAAGTAGCTTATATCTTGACCATGTTTGCTCGTTGAATGCACTTAATGTGAGAGTATATTTTAGGATAGCGATTGCTGGAATTTTCATGCAGCAGCTGCTATTAAAGACCCATGACTTGTCTGGAAAACAGCAGCTGCTATTAAAGACCCATGACTTTTCTGGAAAAAGCAATCTAACCAGTTCATCAAATTTTCTTGTTTACCTCTGATGTCTGACCGCATCAGGTATGGGTGTTAGTATTCATCTTGAACTTCATTTAAAAGTATTGACAAAAGGTTGAGAATAATATGACAATATCTTTTGATTTGATGCCAAGAATTTTCCAGGTCATACATAATCTTCCCATGTAGGCCAAATTTTATGTTGCATTTTGTTTCACAACATACTTAGTGCTTCCTTATCATTCTTCTATAATTGAACCCACTTGTTTATCATTTATGATGAAGGTGTGGAGAGCCAGTTGCTGAGGGCATTTTCTCCAACTTCTCTCTCTTACTATCTGAAGAACCCGTGGAAGAACCAGAGATTATTAATATGGGAAAAGTATTTGGTAATGATAAATTGAAATCTTCAATTTTTGAGGAAGAAGACAGTGATGAAGCTTCAATCGAGTGGGACGACCGGTTGCACTTCCCTCCTGAAGATAAGGAAATTGATATTTCAAAGCCCCTCCGAGATACGGTGCATGTAGAAATTACCCTTGATGTTATCTGTGATCCAAGCTGCAAAGGTTTATGCCTCGAGTGTGGTACAAACTTGAACAAAAGCAGTTGTAACTGTAGCAAAGAGAAGGAGAAGGAGAGAGGACCCGGCCCTCTTAAAGATCTGAAAAAACAGATGCTGTCAGGATCTTAAGAGTAATTGCACCTCAAACATTTTCTCGCGTTCGTTCGCAAGTGGTGGAAATTATTAGGGTTTTCGTTTTTTAAAATGTTCTACAAAACTGCATTTGAATCACGCCACGCCATCATATGGATTTTACCTCCATGTGTGATAAAACACATGCAGACAGACCCCTTTCAAATGTTCATTACATAAGTATAAATACCGGTGCATGTATTATCCAACTCAATGACGAATCTAGTCTTGACATTGTGTTAACAAACTAAAACCACAAATTCTTTCTTGATTTTGTCGAACGTTAACCGTATTTTTATTAATCAAACCTTTAAAAAAAATCAAAACCTTAATTCTAAAGTCTAAAACCTAAAGCGATCTATTCGTTACAAGAGATAGGAGGAGTTGACAACGATTTTTAACTCTCTTGGGGGGTTTCGACGAGAGTTAAAGATATGAAAAGCTTATATGTCTAACCTTTGTTGCTGCATTCTCAGCTAACTGGTTTCAGATCCTTAACACCTATCTTCCCTCAATTTCATCATTTGATTTGATCCTCTAAAACATAAGTTATGAAATGAAACTTCCATGATTTTCAAGTTATTTTCAGTTTGATTGTTCCTCTTTGAGACATTTCTCCCAAGATTTTATTTATGTCATGAATATTTTAAATTAACTTGTTAAGTTATAATTAACTAAGCTATTTTATTGTCTTTCTCCTCTTTCAAAGTTGGTTGGTTTAGCCATGAATGTTAAGAAGTAACGAGTCATTATTGATAGGTTTGATCAGATGGTAGCTAATTGTTAAACAAGTCATTATTGATAGCTCTTGAGGTTTCATTATTAAGTAATTGTTATAAATTTAAGTTTATACATTGTTCATTGTTGGAGGTGCTGTACTACTATGAGATGTTGTTGCTTTTTGTAGCTGACATTGGTGATGTTATTGTAAAAATTGTAGAGCTGCAATAGTTCAATTCAAGTTCATATTCACAATTTTTACGTTTTGGTGTGACTAGTATTTTTGTTGTTTAAAGTTTAATTTGTTTTTATATGTTTTAGTTTGTTTTTTTTTGTTTACTAATTCTTTTATTTTATTGATTCTAAATCAATGAAAAATTAATAATATAAATTCAACTTATGAATATTTGAAATATTTATAAAAATTTAGTTTAATTTAATATATTTAACCTCTAAAATAAATAAATAAATAGGGTTTTTCAGTTCCAAGTTTCCGACGTTGACACTGGATGAGAGAGATAATCCACTTCTTCCAGCATCGACGCTGGATAAAAGATGCGAAAAGCACCCCATTTCAGCAATCAGTTGTTCTAAAACCGAAATGTAAATGAACTTGAGTCGCAGACAGATACCGAAAGAGAAGAAATGGGTGCGCTCATTATGAGTTCCACTTTCGGCATTCTCCACTTCGAGTATGTTTATCTCCAAATAGCTGAATGCATTAAATTCCCCACTCCAAAGACAGGTCTGGAATTAGATCAATGTCGTTCCATAGAGCACTGAAAATTGTGCGCTTGTTAATCTTAACCACACAGCCCCACTTCCCTTCCTTCACCAAACCCTGAACTATCCTCAAATGAAATTAATGCAGAGGATATTGAACACGTAATTGCTTGTCTAGTGAGTGTAGTGCCAGTGCGAACCCATAAGGCCTGTCGTTTTCATCATGATTAATGCAAATAACAAGCTTATTTTTTGTAGGGGAGTGCTCCAGAGATGTCTCACACCAAAGTAGCGAATCTTCAGAACAAAAGATAAGTTCAACCCATCAGCCAACTTGAGGCATTAATTAGCTAATATACCTACCTCATACCATTGCTCTTAAATATGTTCTTCATTAAGGTGCCTTTGAAGCTTAAGACTAAATACACATGGGAAGGAAGACAAGGATCTGAATATCTGTGTTACATATAGCACTTCCCTATATTGTATCCCACTCCAACAGGTCTTACACCATTAACGATTGAGATCATCTATTGCAAAAGTGAAGGACACGACTTTGATATGTCTCCCCTCTTCAGTGAAAGACACGACTTTGATATGTCTCCCCTCTTCAGCTACAGAAAGGAGCTCAATCAGGTAATGTTGTCTCTCCGTTATTTTTTTTCCTTCACTAGTTTGCTTGCTGTATGTGTTGGAGTTACTGTAGGTTGTTATGCAGCAAAGTCCTGTTGCGGGAAACATAATCTCACATACATTAAATGGCGTTTACGATCATGGAGTATTTTTTTTGTGATTAGGCCATTTTTTCCAAACACATTATCAGAAGGGGAGGAATTTTTGGTTATATATGTTATTCTTCATTTTCTTTTCCTTGTTTGGAAACTCTTCAAGATACTACAAGACTTACAAATGAGAATGATGAGCAGATCTGCATATTCGTACTCCTGAATAAATATATATAAAAAATATGACAAGCTTTTTCGTGTACAGTCCAAAGTAATTTTGTTCTGTCAAGCATTTTGATGTGTCTGCGGTCCTAATTTGGAATTATGATTCATGCGATGTTGATTCTTATATATATATATAAAAACAGGTATTGTTTGAAGGGGATTCAATTTCCAGAAAGGTGATCTTGAACAGACCTGAGAAGCTAAATATCCTCAATTATGAAATGGTACGCATCTAACGTTTTTTGATTACTTCTTGAATGATGTGAAAGCAGAGCAGGATTTATATCTTCCATTTATTTTTATTTTGGTGGGAAAGGTTGTCCTATCTCCAGGCTATCAAGACATTGATTTCTTTCTACTACTTTGCATTTGTTATGTGCTTCATTCATTCTGCTCCACTTGCACCAATATATTGTTAAACTTTTTTTCCGTTTTTCTTTCTTCTACTTTCCAGGTTTCTCAAATGCTAAAGAACTTGAAGGCCTTTGAGAATGACTCTGCAGTTAGACTTGTAATTTTGAAGGTAGAGAGGGAGGGGGGGGGGGTGCGTGTGGGGGCGCTGTTTTAGCATGTGGTTTCATGAAAACTAAAAAACCAAATCTAAATGAGCTTAACTTCGATAGCTTTTGGACATTGGAGCGGTGCTTTTAACATTATCAAGTTCAACATTCCCTTGATCTCTGAGTGGATAACAAATATATACAGCGATTTGTTAACTGGCAGAGTTTTGTGCCATTAACCCTCTGCCAAAAAATGTGGGCTTTTAAAGATGGAGTTTAGGTCGGCCACGAGATAAAATAAAGAGATATCTCACCATTCATCTTTTTTACAGGGAAACGGAAATATATTTTGTGCTGGTGGTGATATTGTTTCAAATTTTTTGTGTGTAACTCAAGGTAAATTAACATTTGTTTGGGAGTATATTTTCCTGCTGCTCAGATACAGGAAGTTTCCTGCTGCCGATTGCTACACGGAAGCTTAATTTCCTCCTACCACCCACTGGCAGCAGGAGTTCCTGCCATGAGCATCAATGTCTATGATTTTATATGCACAAACTGGAATAGTTGTAGTTCTAACAATCTGTAATGTTATTTCCACTATTTAGGCCATTGGAGCTATGGTGAGAAATTTTACGAGAAACAACTCATCTTAGACTACATACTTGCTACATACAGGAAGCCTCTGGTGAGACAGGATTAAATTTTACATGTGTTTCTTTCAAGCGATGATTTTCAGTCACTCAATGCTAGTTTTTTCTTAATTTCCTTGAAGATTTCACTGGTTGATGGTATTGTAATGGGAGGAGGTGCTGGCCTGTCCATGCATGGAAGGTTCAGGATTGTCACCGAGAATACTGTAAGTTCCTTGTCTGCTTTCAGCATAATTTTCAATACTGTAAGTATTGCCACCGAGAATAGCGGTAATAAATCCTTGATGTTGCAATGGAACTGTGATTAAGAAGCATCATGATTGGTACAAACCCCCCACTGATCCAGTTCTGTGATGTTCTTCGGTTCGTTTTTTCTTCATCCAGGTATTTGCCATGCCGGAAACATTAATCGGGCATTTTCCTGATCTTGGTGCATCACATTTTCTTTCCAGGCTCCCAGGGCATTTTGGTAATACTATGCCAGACACCCTTTCATTTCTGTTTTTTCCGTTGATAAGAAGGGTGATGCTAGAAATACCGGTAACATTTGTTTTTCGAATCACAGTGATGGCCATGGTCTTAATCACAATTATGAAGTGAGTTTAGTGGCAATTAATAACCCCACACACAAAAGAACCGGTGCTAATACGTGCATTTTCTGTGAAATCCCATTATGCAGGGGAATATCTAGGGCTTACCGGTGCCCGGCTTGATGGAGCAGAAATGCTCGCGTGCGGCCTGGCAACACATTTCGTTCTCTCTAAAGTACCTACCGTATTCAATCCCTAGTGTTTTTTGAGACTCCTTTAACATCCCTATATAAACCCAGTGACTAACAAAGTAAATCACTGGAATTATGCTTATATTATAGGATTTGCTTGCATTGGAGAATGCGCTCCAAGCTCTAGGCTCATCGGATACAGCAACAATTTCTGAGGCTATCAATAATTTTGGTCAAAAGCCAACTATAAAAGATGATAGTGCTTACGGCAGGTCAAAAAAGAATATCAATATCCAACGCTTGCTCCTCTGCTTATTTCATTGATCTTGATGTGTTACAAGCCCCAGTTAATCTGTTTTGGTTGCCCAGATTGGAGGTTATTAACAAGTGTTTCTCCAAGGAAACAGTTGAGGAAGTCTTGCTATCCCTGGTAATTGTCAATAATGTTTTCTCATAAGGAAACATGCACGCTTCCATATTATTATTAATTAACTAAAGCGGGCTTTAATTGCATGGCATGGTGTAGGAACATGAAGTTGAAAATCGAAGAGAAAAGTGGATCCTCGTGGCAATAAAATCCATCAAATCAGTTAGCCCAATCGGCCTTAAAATTGCTCTTAGATCGGTAAAGAAATCTCAACCATTTCTTTTTTTTGTTTTTTTTACTCTCTTAACCATTATACATTAATGGCATGGGTAAATCTTGCTTAATCTGCTTAAGATAAGAGAAGGAAGAACGCAGAATCTGAAGCAGTGTCTCGTTCGCGAGTACACTATCTGCTGCAACGTCGTTCGAGCAACTGTTAGTAACGATGCACTTGAGGTACAGACTGGTTGTTTGAATGCTTAGATTAATTAATTCACATGCATATACGGCATTAAATACGTCAAAAATAAAATAAAATTAATGAATAGGTGTAAATTAAGAGGCTGTTTATGGTAGCGATGCAACTGGAGTTTCAAGAAATTTTAATTTTTTTAATTAAAAAAATTATTTTAATATACTTTTAAAATTCACTAGCACAAGATAATTCCCATGTTATTATATAGTCTTTTAACATCTCCCTTGTTAATTAAACATATATCTACAGGGAGCAAGAGCAATGATGGTTGACAAAGACAAAAAACCCCAGGTATAGATGATAGAAAAACCCGTCACTCTTATTAACCGACATTCTTTCTTCCATCTTTTATGTTGAGTGAAATTATATATATATTTATTAATTGATGATATCTTTTAGCACTTCTCTAATTAGTGCTTTAATAATTCCAGATTTCCCTTTGTCCTTTATTTAATACTTGCAATAACATAAGCATCAATTATTATGATTAAAAAGCCTGATTTTTTTTTAAAAAAATAATGATAGTAACAGTTTCATTCTCATTTTTTCCTTTTCCAGTGGGAGCCTTCAAGATTAGAGCTGGTCAGCAAAGATATGGTGGATCGCTGTTAAAAAAAAATAATGATAGTAACAGATTCATTCTCATTTTTTTCCCTTTTTTTTTTTCTCCAGTGGGAGCCTTCAAGATTAGAGTTGGTCAGCAAAGATATGGTGGATCGCTGTTTCACTGGCATTGATGATGATGATGACTGGCAGTTCTTACAACTTCCTGACAGAAGTAGCATGGCTGAGGTATTGAAGCCAAAGCTTTGAACAACATGATCATGGAGGTTGAAGAATGGAGGTGAAAAACGTACTAGAATTTGATGAACTATATTACTTGCCAATAAAAGTTTAGGAGCAATCGTGATCATGCACGGCCGTGTCTTATCATGTTGAAACCCTTCCTGATAGCTAGGAAGCCCAGGATCTAGTGTTGTTTTTTCCTTCTTTCTAAAAGAACATGTTGAGAGCTATGTTTCTTTCATATTATCAGTTGCGAATAAAATTTGGATTAACAGTATTCTAGATTGAAAGCCAATTCATTCCATCGATTAAATTGGTTATGATAGAATTTTAAATGAATTGTTTTCACGTACATGAACAATGTATAGATCTACCACGTAAATTACACTAATGATTCCTCAAATTAGAGAAGCCAAAACTTTCTTGCCGTGACAGAATATGCCTCTGCTGAAGACCATGAATTTACATAGAGAAAGAACTGTGGGGGGTGGGGGAACTTCGTAAATCATCCCTGATACGCGAGAAGGGGGTTGTTTTCCAACCTGCAAAAAAATGAGGTATCTCAACTTAGAAGTCTAATTCAGTTTAAGATGCTGAAGTAGTAAATAAGCAAAAGCAAGTACCAAAATGAAGATTTCACATAAACATATTGATATTAATCTGCACCATGTTCTTACATCATTTACTTCCAATTAATCTAAAGGGCTTTCTTTAATCTGGGGAAAAAAAGGGCACTGCAACTACATCTAAATAGCATTCTAATTTTGAACAATAAAAATTCAAAGATCATGACAAACAGTAAGCCATGCCACAAATGTATGGGGACTTGTGTTGCTTGGCCCTGGATTGTGGAATTCTAGTGTGTCGTGGCACTTGCTTGTGAACTTATAGACTTCGATAGAAACCTTAGATTTATGATTGTAATTCAAAGCTGAAATAAAGTGAAAAGAGGTTTTCAGAACTACATGATCATACAAGCTCATAGTATGCTTTACCGATTCAGATCAAGGGTTGAAGAAACTCGAACCATCCAAAGTGACAGCAATTAGAACTAATATACTTGTAATCACCGCAAACCAAACTAAGATTGATCCTGCGAAAACAAGTTTTCAAATGTTGATCGTGAGATGACAATTTAAACCAACCTTAGATATGTGGTTCTTTCACATATTGAATGTTTAGGTGACGAATGATAAAGAGAAAATAAAAACATTACCAGCAGAACCTTCAGAACTGTTATTGCTATCTGAGGGCATTGATTCAGCATTAAGATTATGTGAGCGTGATACTGCAGTTCCTGCACCTGAGGCATCATTTGAAAGTTTGTTATTTCCTGTCTCTGACGCCACTATTCCTTGAAATTCCTCACTCACAATCAAAGCTGCTAGAACATCCATAAATGACTCTTTATCCATCTCATTTGAAGAACCCCTTCTACTAGGCTCATAGATAGCATTTGATTCATCAGAATCAGACATCTCATCATCTGAAGCATCTGTATCAACATGCTCCACCTCATTCTTATCATCATCTTCATCCTCAACATAGGCTTTATAAGTTAGTCGAAGGAGAATCTCTCCAGAAGAAGATTTTCTGAACAATCCCCAACCTCCTTGCAGAACCACTATCTTGTCAGTTGGTACAGTATCTTGCAAAGATCCCAAATCAACCTGTACATGTTGTTGAATTTAGAAAGCTATATTTAAGAGAAATGAAAGAATGTAACTGCCACAAATAACAATCAAAATTTCCAGTTCCTGCACAAATTGCCCAATAAATGCAGGGAAATTACAATATGAAGCTCACGTAACAAAAATCCTGGAAGGGGAGAGAGAGAGAGAAAGAGAGCGAGTTTTTTGGGTCCATCAACTCATAAACTTGTTATTGCCAACTCTCTGGCCATCACTGTCACCACTGCCACCACCTATAGCACCACTATTATTTCAATCCCCCAGAATCATCATGTCACCACACTGCAAGGAAACGTCAACTAATACCAAGACCATTAAAAATATGTTCTGATTGTGAACAACCACCACCTCCATTTCTTCTCTTCACCAATACCACTGAAGCAGGCAGGTTCTATGAATCTACTATGAACATCAATTCTTTTAAATGTAAAGGAAAAAGACATGATATCATTACAAAGCACAAAACCATACATTTGATTGGATATCAAAATATTGATTTCTATAATAAATTTATTTGCAGCAGGATTAGATATCCAAACTTCCTAATTGTTAATTAAAATTTATGTTATCTCACTTGCTTGAGGTAAATTTCTAGGCATATCTTATGCATATAAGTAAACCCACTGAAGAGGTTATGTCTAATAAAAAAATCTCTATATGCTATGTGATCAACCATTGAAGTACGACAAACATCCAAAGAAAACATTAAGGACAACTTTGTACTTTTTCCAAAAAAAAGTTGTTTGGAATAAGATATTTACCTCTCCTGTACCAATAGTTAAACCCGTGAATCCAAGAGAGTCTTTCACTTGGATGTTCAGTTTTTGTTTCCTGGGGTTTGTAACAAGCATGTGAAAATCCTGTCCAAAGTCATAAAACACAATTATCTCATGGAAGTTAACAATAAGTGTACACATCGCACCCAACAATGAATGTTTTCTGGTAAACAAACGTGTCTGCAAATAAATGAAACATGGAACATGAAGAATCACCTGATTCCAAATTGGTTCGCCAGGAGGCCCAATGACAGTAGTTTGACTATTCTTTTTACTGCGCATAATTTGATCTCCCAGGTTCAGAATAACATATGGGTCTGTTTTACCTGACAAACAACAGGTAAATAATGAGTGCTACAAGTGGAATAGAAAATGTATATGAGAATTAAGATGCCCAAACAGTCACACACCAATGATCAAATGGGCATGACAGATATAAGGCTAGGGGATGCAGTAATACTATGCTTGTGACTCTTATAACTGATAACATCAACAAAATGTAGTGATGCATCTTTAAGATTGCAAATCAATGTGAAAGAATCTGAACAAACAAAACACTGAAATACTTGAAAATGGGTTAAAAGACAAATGCATGGCAGCCCTCTGCTTTCCTTACTATTTCAGAAGAATAACGACTGGTACTTACTAAATCATCCAAACGGGTGTCAAGCACTAGGCAGAAACACGTTTGACACAATTTTCATCATCGTATATGATGGCTTCAATAGAGATGTAAAAAATTATCAAATTAAAGCAGAGGCATCCTTTTCAGTCAATAATAATTTTGAGCAAGATTCGACTACTCAAAATTGCATGCAAGGATTCTAATGAATAATAGATTTCAAGAAAACTGAAGCAGAAAGAACTTTTACCAAGGAAGATGTAGGAAAGTTTTCGAGCATCTACAAGAGTGACTGATAGTTCTCCAACAAAATCCCTGTTTCCTTCTTGCATTTCTCCTGATTCATTTGCAACAGGGCCAACCGCTTTTCCTTTTTGAAAATCCAAAACAATCTTCTTAGGACGAACAAACAGTCGAGGCAAATCCTCAGTGAGAAGTTTTTTCAGAAACCTATGGAAATGCAGTGAACCATTTAAATTTGGTGAAAGGAAAGACAGCAAAAACCCTAAAATATGCTGTAGCTATAATGGTCCTTCTCCTTTGATGCATTTTGTTATTGTATTATTATCAAACAAAATACATTTTTCCAGACACATCAGAGAACATAGGCTTCAAAGTCGGAAGTTAAATTGGCTTGCAACCAGAGGATGGCTTGTGAAAAAATTCAACACACTTATTTACTGTTTCCAGGAAAAACGCATTTGTAATAAATCACCAAATTATTTGCTTAACAGAATGCACGATTATCATTTGTACTATGCTGCATCTTCTAAAACCTAATATACCATCTGGTTGCATTCAAGGTCAACTGACCATATTAACTTTGAAATTATGGGATAATTGACTTTTCAAAGACAGAGGCTGCCTAGGGGCAATAATATTACAGCGAAAAATAATACAAAGCAAACTAAAAAATAGAATGGAGAGAAAAAGTCCACTTACATTGAGAGAACAGGAATTGCTGGTGTCGCCCAATGCAAGCATAGAAAATGAGAAAAGAAGAGGTTTGCATTAGAATCTCCAGTATCGAGTTAATTAGGTATTAAAATAAGAGATAGAACACAGGGAACTAGAAAAAAAGAGCTCTATGGTGTATCCACAATCTCAAATCATGTTCAGTTTTGCCAATCATCCATTACTTATGTCAAGTTTTCATCTTTAAGAAATCAGCAAGTGCGTTCTCCTAAAGCAAATGGGATTTAGTAAACGTCATCAACAGATTGGCAGATTTCAAGAAGAAATGACATCAAACTTCAGTAATTATTCTTAGCTATTCAGTGTATTATAGCTGAATGATTCCAGATGCAAGTATTATTCAGACATAAAATAGATGAAATAAGCCCTTTAAGACAATAACAATGGCCTACCCATTAGATTGAACAAACGAAATGGTGAAAGTTCAAATTTGATCTTCGGGAGTGACACAAAAGCCCATGAAACAGCTCCCACCCATGGCTCTGTTGGTATCAACCGCAATTTGACCCAAAGTTCACCATCAATGTCAAAATCTCGAACACCGACTGGCACCACAATGGGGATAATGCCAAATTTTAGCGACAGCATTAGCAGCATCCGAGCACCACCAGTATATCTGAGGCCTATTTGATACCTAAATATCACGAAAAACAACATAAATCAGTTTTCTATGTTATGAATCTGAATAATGAATGCTTAACACTTACCGTACCCCGTTGCACAGTAGAATCAATTAAAAGCTACTACTAATTAACAGTCGGATTTCCACGACAAAATTCATTGCAAAAATTTTAAAAATGGATCACAAGGACTTCAAATAGCTAGCTAACTTACTGCAAATCGTTGACACGGCGAGAAGTTCTCCTCTCAACATTCCTAACAGACAATGGTTCATCCCCTAAAGAGAACTGCTTAATTTCAACTCTCTCAACATAATCAGGCTTCTTCAAATTATCAATAACAGGCTGCAACAACCCAATGAGCCAATTCTCAATCCCACCTCTGTAAACCTTCCACAACTTCCCTAACACCATATTAACCCACTCAACAGACTCTTTTCTCTGCAAATCCTTCTCCAAAAACAAAGAAAAGCTGGTGGGCACTTGCGGCCACGCCC